AGATGTACCTTTGCCCTCCATTATATGGACAAAGTCTGCGCTGTAGCTGTCACTGACGAGCTTCTCCTCCACACTGAACCCTCTGATGTTTACGATCTCCTCCACGTCGGAGAGGTCCTCGTTCTCGTCGTACATCCTCCGGCAGATGGAGCGCTGGCATTGGAAACAGAGACGACTTACATGACAAAAAAAAAAAAAAAAAAAAAAAAAAAAAAAAAAAGACAACAAACTCCCTGTCCTAAAAAGGCCCACTCTTCTCCAAACATAAGATGAAAAGCTCTACTTTAAAACTGGTCCAGGACTTGTACTGGATGCTCTTTGATCGTGCCGCATCCGTTACCATGGCAGCGTCATAAACATGACGTCCAGCGCTTCTATCAAACGACGCTCATCGACGGAAAAAGGCAGCTAATTGCTTGCGATATATGTCGGTAATTTGCACTATTTTGTGTGATTTCAAATGTCACGGGCTTGATTGTTATTGCAGATGTTTTGTTTAAAAAGTTATTAAATGCGGAATGCATGTAACGTTGCTGCTTCTGCAAACTCGAAAACGTGTCATGACAAATAACCCGACGGCGCTTCAGCTGAAAATGTGTTAGCTTAGCTAACTAATTAGCCCGCTGCCAGTTTGGCTTCCTGAGCGAACGTGAACACGGCAGACGGTACACACCAGCCTCCGTCCGGACTCTGCGCGGGCTTCCGTGGACTGAGCCATCGTCTCTTCAGGTGGTTTCTGCAGCCCCTCGGTGTGGAGAAAGCATCCTCGCGCGGAGCGGAGCTGCACGAGCGCTTAGCACGCTTTACGGGTTCAAAACAACGGAACCATGTTTTTGTGTGTTACGTCACCACCAGGAACCAAAACATTGTTGGACAACGTCATGGCTTGTCAGCGCGTGCAGCTTAAAAAGAAAACAAGCAGAACCACGTTTTGACTACCAGCGCCTTTTGACCTGGTTTTATAAAGATAAAAACTTTATTTAAAAAGGCAGCTTTCAGTTTTATTTTAAATGTTGTAAATTGGTAAATTTATACATTTTCTGAAAGCTGTCTGAGAATCAGTTGTTTTATTATTACCTAAATAATGTCCTAGTATTTTTTATAATTTGACATAATCAAACATGTTCAAAATGTGTGTTATGTTATGTGTTAT